ATACCATTGATCAGCTCTTATATATATAGATTTCCGCCCCTCCCCCTTTTGGGGTGGGTTCTTTTTCTTAGTCTTTTACAATAATGGTCTTATGCAGTATTTCTCCTTTTGTGACTGACTAATTTCACTCAGCATAATGTCCTCAAGGTTCATCCATGTTATGCAATGGCTTGCAGCTTTCTTGTTGTTCTTCAAGGTAGCATAGTATTCCATTGTGTGCATGTACCACAGTTTGTTTATCCATTTTTCAATTGATGGGCACTTTGGCTGTCTCAATGTCACTTAACAACTAACCTAAAGGTTGACATTTTGGACTCACCCAGTGGTGCCGAGGAAGAAATGCCTGGTGATCTACTTCTGTAAAGATGATCGCCTAGAAAATCCTACAGAACACAGTTCTACTTTGTAACACATGGAGTTGCCATAAGTCAGAATTGATTCAACAGCAATGGGTTTGTGCTTGTTTATCATTCATTTCCTATGTTGTTGTTGTGAAGTGCCATTGAGTAGGTTCTGACCCATAGTGACCCTGTAAAGGGTTTCTGAGGAGCAGCTGGTTATAGGCTCCTTCTAACCCTTGATAGTCATTCATCTTCTTGGGAAATGCCTGCTGTTTTCATCCTTGTAGATTTTCTTCATCTAGGTTACGTCCCAGTGGCTTTGGAAATGGTTCAAGGGATTTGCCAGTACTATTTCCATCCACTTTATGATCCTTCCATAACTTAGGCCACCTTTGTAATTTTGCAATGAAAAACTCTACAGAGCTCAGTTTTGCTCGGACACACATGGGATCACCGTGAGTTAGAACAGACTCCAAGAACTCTTATTTACATGGCATAACACATTTAATTTCCCTGTGCAACAAACTCCCTGCCATCAACTAAATTCCAACTCATTGGTCGCTCTAGGACAGAATAGAGGCTCTAAGACTGTAATTCTTCATAAGAGTAGACAGCCTCACTTTTTTCCCAAGGAATGGCTGTGGGTTTGAACTGCCAACCCTGAGGTTAGCACCCCAGTGTTCAACCTACTGTACCACCTGTGCAATAAGGAAAACTTTGTTTTATTTTAGCCATTACTATCAATTTCACTTACATTTGTTTTAAAAGTGATTCATATGTACTCAGGATTTAAAAATTCAATCATTACTAAAAGAATTAAAGAAAAGTACCAGTTTTCCTCTTTTTTCCTACTTTATATGAACTGACTCTTTACAAAACCAATAAGGAAATATTTTAAGATAAAAAATAACACAGATAACCAGGGAACTAAGACCACCCTAAGGAAATCTGGTAGCGTAGTGATTATGAGTCAGACTGCTAACCTGTGAGCAGTTCAAAACTATCAGCTGTTCCATAGAAGAAAGATGAGGCTTTCTGCTCCTATAAAGATTTACAGCTTCAGAAACCCTATGCAGGGATGCTATGAGTCCGAACTAACTCCAAAGCAACCAATACCACCAGGACCAACCTAGACCAAAAGAGCCTAATAAAATAATACTCCGAATCTTTTCCCCTTCATTTGCAACGCTGGTTAAACTGCTCCTTGGTTAGAAGCCAACTTCCAGAGTTAGTGGGAAAAAGTCGTAACAAACCCTGCCGGTGATCACTTCCGTATACTGTTTGTCTGAGTGGTTAGCAATAAGCTAACAGTTGGAAGAAAAGTCTAGTGGTCCATTTCTGTACAGCCTTCAGACAAGAAAACCCAGTGGAACAATTATCTGTAATACATCATAGGGTCATCAAGAGAAACTGATAACCAACTTTTTTTTAATTTCCTTTGAGTGAGACTTCCCTTCCACTTAATTCTGTGGTGATGTTTTTGTTTATTTTTATTCTGCTGCAAAGTTCGTGCTGATTGTTGCTAAGTGAGCCAAGACTGGCATTTCACTGCTTGTTTCAGCAGATGTTTATTGGGAAAAAAAGTTTGTATTAACAAAGGGCAAGAAAAACTATTTTTTTTAAACCTACCAAAGGTAATGCATAACTTTTAAAGTTTTCCTAGAGCAACAACAAAACAAACAGTTGATACCTCCTCAGTCCGATCCTGAATCATGGCGACTCCATGCATTGTGTCAGATTTTCATGACCAGGATCTTTTGGAAGCAGATGGCCAGACCTTTCTTTAGAGGGGCCTCAGGCTGGGTTCAAACCTCCAACCTTTCAGCAAAAATTTTTGTACCACTTAGAACTCCTTTTCCAGAGCAGAGATTAAAAAAAAAAATCAAATTCCCAAATGATTTTGGGGAAAAACAGTTGTTGGCAAATCATCATGTACTTACTAGTCAGTAGAACTTATTTCTTTGCAATTCCGAATATTATAATACTAGCTTTTGCATCCTTGTAGAGAAAACCATCCTGATTGAGCATGCATATACACCTGACTGTCCTTGTAAAAATGCCATTAAGTGACTCAGTTATGTGCCAACAGGGGCAGTGTGCCAAAGAACTGTCCATCAATGACAAGAATGACTGGAAAACGGTTTCCAACGCCTTTGCTGTCATTGACTTTACTGATGAAGACCTTGAGGTACGGGTCACAGAGGCATGACTGCCAATTCAGTCTGGGATGGAGAAAACCATCTTTGTTTCTCAGTGTTTGCATAGAAGGGCTGCCAGGTGCAGGACCTAAAAAAATGCAGAGCACCCAGTTACATCTGAATTTCAGATAAGCAATGACCTATCAATGGCTGATTTTTAGTGTGTAGGTATATTGCTATGAGGTGGAACCAACTCAATGGCACTTAAAAACATATCCCAAATATTGCATGGGACAAGCTTAGACTGGGAAAAAAAAAAAAAAAAAAAAGCCATTGCTTATCTGAAAATCAAATGTCTTGTATATTTGATCTGGCAGTCCTAAGTTTCCCAATGTTGTGAGCAAGTAGGAAATGACATTTCTTCTTTCTTTTAATTAAGCTCAATCTCAAAGATTTCCATCCCAGAAAATTGCAAGATTTTCTTTTCTTTTTTTTTTTTTTTTTAAGTTTGTTTTGGAACAAAACGAAACAAATTGTAGCTTTATAAATATTTTTTATTGTAAAATTTATATAACATTTGTTGTTGTTAAGTGCCATCAAATCAGTTCCAACTCATAGCAACCTTATATACTAGAGAAGTTTCCAAGCAGCAGCTGGTGAGTTTGAACTGCCAACTTTGTGGTTCTCAGTTGAGTGCTGATCCTACTGTCACACCAAGAGTCCATATGTAACATGGGGGTAGAATAATTAGGAAAAGCATAGTAGTAATGGGTTGCAAAGCATGATGAATGTAATCAATACCACTGAATTGTACCTATAAAAATTGTTGAACTGGGAAATGCTGTTATACATACATACATACATACATACATACACACAAACATATAATCACAAAATGTGTGTTTTGGGAGGAGCATGGTGGCTCTGTAGGGTAATCACTGGACTTCAAACCACAAGGTAAGCAGTCCTAGCCTATCTGCTGCTCCTGCAAAAATTCAAGCCTCGGAGACCCTACCCAGAGTCATTGTGAGTCAGAACTGATTAATGGCCCTTAACCATATGTATGTGTATGTATAAAATTTCACAACATTTTCCATTTTAACCTTTTTTAATTATAGTCGCCATGTTGTGCAACCATTACCAACATCTGTTTCCAGATACTTTGTTTTAATCTCAAACTTTTAAGCAGTATCAATATGCTTGTTTTCACATCTTTTGTCTTATTTATCATTTTGATTGTTAAACAATGAATCTTTCAAGGGCCAGAAGATAGTTTGTTTCCACTTCATTTATCCAAAGCTTCACTACCTGTCAGTTTGAGGAACTCTGGTGGCTCACGTGTTGCTGTGATGCTGGAAGCTATGCTACTGATTTCAAACATCAGCAGGATCACCCATGGAGTTTCAAAATTAAATTGCTTATCAGTGGTGAAAAGTGGGAAAGATGTAAAAATTAGAGTGCTGTGTGCTGGAGGTTGAGTGAGGCTCCTCCATCCTCTGTTGGGATGCTTTCTCCCACTTCCATTAATATTTAAAGTGAACAAGAAGACCAATTTCTGGGCAAGAAAGAGGCCTGGTTTCTGGGCACTCAGGCTTGGAATTAAGCTGAGGGGGCAGGTTTCCCTTGGGGATGGATCTTCGTTAAAGATGGGTATCAATTAGCCCCCATCTTCTCTCCCTGTCCTGGTCCTCTGCCCCTCACTGCTTTCCACGTTCCTAGAATCTCTTTGGAATTATTGCCAGTGTTCTCCACCTGGGGAACATTCATTTTAAAGAAGACAACCAAGGCTGTGCCACCATCCCAGACACACACGAGATCAAATGGATTGCAAAGGTGATGGTCTGACCCTAGCAGAGGCAGCAGTGGGGGAGGTGAGGGCAGGAGGTTGCTGGGATCTCAGCTAGTCAATATGTTCTCTCTGTGGATGCTAGTTAAGAGGCTTAAAGAGCCATGGGGACAGAAGAGGGCAATACTAGTTGGTGGAAAGAGCAAATGTAGTCTGTTTTGCACTAAAGCTAAATGATAACTCTGAGCCTAGAACCCCCCCCCCCCCCCCGCATAAATTCTTTATAAATTAGCAAGTGAAACTGGATTACTGACTCTCATTCCGGTTTCCTTTTATTCAGCTCCTGGGGGTTCTCCCATCCGTCCTTCTGGATGCTCTCACCCACAGAAAAATTGAAGCTAAAACTGAAGAGGTAAAAATGGGTCTGCTGGAACTACGTCTGCTCTCCTTACCACGTCTGCCTCCAGTGGATGGCAGGAGGGTGGAGCCCTAGGGGATGCCAAACCCTGAATCCAGTAGGCCTGCTTGATCCAGGTCCTGCCAGGGTCTCCTGCTTCAACCCCACAGCCAACATGTGCTCCCCATTCCTCATACTCATCATGCCTTCCCTGCCCTGAGGCTTGTACATGCTGTTCACCTCTTCCCAGAACATGCTTCCCAGCTGGCTCCTCGTCCTCCATTTCCCAGGTATAACTTTTTCAAGCACCATCTGTATCTCCTTATAGTTCTTGTCATTTTCAACTTGAAACTCTTCTTGTGTAATTCTTCAAATATCTGCATACCCTCACTGAACTGTAAGCCCCCCAAAGCAGGGACTGTTGGTCTTGATCACAGCTGCATCTCAGCAGTCTAGTACAGTGCTTGGGATATAAGAAATAGGTACTGCATGAACAAATGTAGGCAGGCGAACCATCTCCTCTCCAGTGTGCATCCTTTGCTACTGGTACCAGTTGTCAAGTTGATTCCAACTCATGGTGGCCTCGTGTGTGTCACAGTAGAATGCACTCCATAAGGTTGTCAATGGCTGATTTTGGGGGTGGGGGAGTAGATTTCCAAAGCTTTCCTCCAAGGTACCTCTGAGAGGACCGGAAGTACCAGCCTCTCAGTCAGCAGCCAAGCTTGTTCATCATTCACATCACCCAGGTAAATCTATGGTTTGTGGTAGTCATCATTAAAGTCTAGTTTGAAGACTTAGGGAGTATTTTAGTTATCTAATGTTACTATAACAAATACCAAAAGTGGATGGCTTTAACAAACTGAGATATATTCTTATAGTTTGGGAAGCTGGAAGTCTGAATTCAGGATGCCAGTTTTAGGGGAAGGCTTTCTTTCTTTGTGAGCTCTGGGTCCTTGTTTCCTTTCAAAATCTTTGGGTCTGGAAACTCTTGGGGCTCTCCATGTGTCTTGGCATCAGTCTTTCTCTAGGTCTAGGAGCTTCTCAGCACAGGGATACTAGATCCAAAAGTTACATCCCACTCCCGGATCTTCTTTCTTGATGGTAGTGACGTCCCTCTCATCTCTGCTTGCTTGTTTAATCTCTTTTATATTTCAAAAGATACTAACTCTAGATAGATCTTAATCCTATAGATTGTATCTGCCTGATTAACGAATCTGCCACTAATCCTATCTCATGACCATCATAGATGTTAGAATTTACACCGCATAGCAAAAAGGCATCAGATAACAAATGGAGAACAGGTACATAACACTGAGAACCAGGACCTAACCAAGTTGGCATAGATGATTGTGTTCATAACATGGGGGTTTTGAAATTCACATCTGTGATAACACACCTGGTTGTACTTCTCAGATGATCTGCCCACTAACACTAGACCTCTCCATCTACGCCCGAGATGCCATGGCAAAGGCTGTATATGGACGAACATTTACTTGGCTGGTCAACAAAATCAATTCCTCCTTAGTGAACAAGGTTAGTCAAAGCATTTTGGATGACTTGCTCTTACGAACATTGTAACATTTCATAATCAACACGAGAATTTACTGTAAGCTCCTTGTGGGCAGGCACAGTGCCTCTTCACCTTTGCATTCCAGTGTCCAATAGGGTCATAAAAAATGCAGGCTGAATGATTCAACAGTATCTCCCCGGTATGTAAATGAGTGTCTATGTCTTCACCCCCAAGTTATTGGCTTCCTTTCACCAAACCAAGGTCCATTAAAAAAAAAAGCCAAGTGCCATGTAGAGCCTCTTTGCTTTACATATTGCATGTGCCCAGTCCCATGTTGTTGTTAGGTGCTACCAAGTTGGTTCTGATTCATCACAGCCCAATCCTGCGCCGTTCTTATAACCATTCCTATAAGGCCAGTATTACAGCTACTGTGTCAAATCATTTCACTGAAACTCTTTTTTTCCCCCACTGACCTTATGCTTTACCAAGCATGATGTCCTTCTCCAGGGATTATTCTTTCCTGATGACATGTCCAAAGCATGTGAGCTGAAGTCTAACCACACTTGTTTCTAAAAAGCAGTCTACCTGTACTTCTTCCACATGGATTTGTCCATACTTTTGGCAATCTATGATATGTTCAGTTTTCTTTGCCAGTACCATAATTCAAAGCTACCAATTATTCTTTGATCTTTCTTACTTATTGTCCAGCTTCACAGGCACATGACAGAATTGAAAATGTCATGGCACTCCTTAGTCCTCAAAGTGACGTCTTTGCTTTTTAACACAAAGAATTTTTTGGTAGGTCTGCTAGCAATAGATAAAATAAAACCTTTTATGAGTAGTAGGTGAGACTTTAAAAGCTCTTGAATATAGTCATCTAAGGTGCAATTATTGGTCTCTCCCTCTCTGGAAGAAAGAAAAGTGCTGAAAATTGAAGCCACGTGGAAACAATTAGTCCAATGGACTAATGGACCACACGAATAATCAGTCTCCACGACCCTGAGACCAGAACCACAACCCTGAGACCAGAACTATATGGTGCCTGGCTACCAAGAGCATCTAGTCTGAAAAGGATCACCTTAGAAGGTCTTGGATAGATTGGAAGGAACTGTGGAACAAAACTCAATTGTAAAGAAGATCAGACTGTACTGGTCAGATTGAGAGTAGAGGATCCCTAAGACTATAGCTCTTGGTCACCCTTCAACTCTAGAACAGAACCCGTCCCTGTATCTCAATTTTCAGTCAATCAATAGGTACACTGGGGGCAACAACACTAGAGAAGTACACACACATAGAATTGCCCACCATTTGAGATCAAAAGGATAGCATTTACCTAAGGACAAAATTCAAAAGGCTTGGAAAAGAAGGATGGACTGGAAATAGGAAGCACAGAGAGGAAGAAGGATATATGATGTTACATGGAGGGGACTGCAGTCATTGAGATGAAACGAAGTGTATAATTTGTTGAATATGAAACTGATCTGCTCTGTAAATCTTGATTCATTTCATAATAAAAAAAAATTTTTTTTCAATAAATCAGTTTAGTTACAGTAAGACCTGCAAATGTTAGAAACCTGTATAAGGTAGAAACCTGTCAGAGAAGAAAGACTCAAATATTTTCCACTAAACGAAGGATAGAGAAGATTACTGACAAGACAGATTACACAGACAAGCTGCCTAGATCCTCTACAACAAAGGCATGAGAAACCAAATGAAACAAAGATGATAAACCTGGAGCCCTGAGCTCAGAAGAAAGGATCAAGAAGTGAATTGAAAAGTGACTAGAAGAAACTAAATGAAAATGGTGAACAAAGAGAATAGAAACAATGGATTGTCTGCTGGCCTGATGCAGTGAAGCCATTTTGAATTTTGCCAAGTAGTGTTCCAGTCCTGGCAGCAGCTGGCACCGATCCCTCAGGACCACACCAGTGCCTACACTTGTAGCTTTGACCAGAAAGGTGGTGCTGTCTTCCCTTATTGTCCACACCCTCCCAGTGACCAGAGTGTGACCAGACCCACTACTACCAACCTGGTGCCTGGAATACCCATACTCTGCAGTGTTATCTATAGCTTGAATGATCCACGCAGTCAAAAGCCTTTACATAGTCAATAAAGCACAAGTAGACATCTGTCTGGTGTCCTCTGCTTTCAGCCAAGATCCATGTGAAGTTAGCAATGATATCCATCATTTTATATCCTTGTAAGAATCTGATTTGAATTTCTGGCACTTCCCTATTTTTAAATTACCTGCAATGAAACTTTACTTGCATGTGATATTAATATTGTTCAATGATTTCCTCATTCTGCTGGGTCACCTCTATTTGGAATGAGCACAAATACGGATCTCTTCCAACTGGTTGGCTAGGTAGCTGTCTTCCAAATTTCTTGTCATAGATGAGTGAGTGCCTCTGGTGCTTTATTAGTTTATTGAAAGATTTCCGTTTGTACTATATCAATTACTGGTGACTTGTTCTTCCCCAATACCTTCAGTGCTGCTCAAACTTCTTCATTTTGTACCATTGGTTCTTGATCATATGCTACTTCTTGAAACAGTCTAACATTGACCATCTCTTTTGGTACAATGACTCTGTATATATCTTACATCTGCTTACGATTTCTGCATTATTCAATATTTTGCCCATTGTTGTTAAGTGCCATTGAGTCAGTTCTGACCCATAGCAACCCTGTACAGGGTTTCCAAGGAGTGACTGGTGAGCTTGAACTTCAACCTTGTGGGTTCAAATCAACTATGCATTCTAGTACATTAATCCACAGTGCCACACCATTTTGCCCATAGAATCCTTCAGAGTTGCAAGTCGAGGTTTGAATATTTTCCCCTCAGTTCTTCCAGCTTGAGAAATACTTTACATGTTCTTCCCTTTTGGTTTTCAACTCCAGTTGCAAGTGGACTTTGTCTACTTGGGTTGCCATTTGTTTTCTTTTTAGCTCTTTTACTTATTTCTTTGATTTGCTTTAGCATCTCTGTGCTGGAAAGCAAGTTTCAGTCTCTTCTGAAATCTATTTTGGTCTTTCCTTTCACCATACTTATACAATCTATATGCTGAGTAAATAATCTGAATGCTAC